CTGGAGATTGAATCCAGCAGTGCTTTACCACTGAGCTACATCCCCAGACCTTTTAATTCTTAGACAGGGTCTCACTTAGTTGCTGAGGCTGGCCTCAAACTTGCAATACTCCTGCATCAGTCTCTTGAGTTGCTGGGATTACAGACATGTTCCACTGTGCCAGGCTAGCTAGGTTTTCTGGACAGCTGACACATTAAGATTATATAATGATCTTTTATACCATAATTCTGTCTTTCCTTAAATAAACAGGCATCCTTAATTTTTAGCTAAGTATGTCACTCAAAAGCCACCTGTTCGAGGCTAGTACTCAACTCAGTTTATGGAAGATATGCATGAAGTTACCAACAAAATCTTTGTATAGGAAAAACTGGCTACGTAATTACTGTTTCTACCTGAAATTAAGTTTTATTCTTTTCTCAGAGGCTAAATTTCAAGTCTTATACTGATTCTCTCCATGGAAGCTATGAGGATTGCTCAAATATATCCACTTCAGTTGCTCATCTATTTTCTTAATGGCTTTAAAGCACAGATATAGATGTGGCTGTAACCACAGCAATGAGCAACTGGCCAGCCAGCCACAAACTAGGCTGGCCTCCTTTGAAGACTGTGCATATACTAAGAATTAAAATGGTGCCCATTTATAACTAGTCAAGGTAATAAAGAACCCACATTAAGTTAAAACTCAAGAAAACTCATGCTTTTTAGCTAGTAAATTTAACATGCATGCTCAACACTGGTATAAGCTGAATTTTTTGAGCATCCTCTGCTTTTGTTCCCTGTCCAAGTGGCAGATGATAACATTTAATAAGGAGCTGGTAGCAAAATACAGGAGGAGCAAAGGAGGAACAATACAATGTACACTCTGATCTAAGATTAGCCTGTTCACTTTAAGAAAAACATGAATATGAATAATGGGACAGTCTAAAACATTTCTATTTTGTATTTCAAGTAGAAGATGGCATCACTAATAGATCAGATGGTAATACACTTCAAAAACTGGTAAATGAGTGCTTCTGATGAGGTAAGAAAAAGCTGAATGATTCCCCCCGATTTTTCCACTAATATAAGCACCACTGCCGTCTCTGTTTCCTAAATCAATGATTTGCAAACTCGAATCAGAATCCCCTGAAGGGCTTATTAAATGCTCACAGCTGAGATCTAAACCCTAGAGTTTCTGGCTTAATACAACAGAAAACGGACTTGAGATTTTTATTTGTAACAAGTTACTAGATGATACTAATGTTGGTTGGTGTCTGCATTTTGAGAAAAGTTTTTAACTAGCAATGATTGCACTTTGAGGGCCACATTTTGATAATCACTGTCTAAACCATTTTTCATCTACAACTTTCAGATGAGACTCGACTCTATAACCTCCCCAAATCCTTCAATATAATACAATCACTTTAAAAACACAAATGTAAATACTACCAACAGATAGCTTTTGGTCTTAGGAAACTAGCCTAGCAAAATAGACCTGAGTTTATAAATTAATGGCTAGGCTGAGGCATGAGGATTGCAAAGTTGAGGCTTAAGCAACTTAGTAATTTAGTGAGACATTCTCTGGCTCTCAAGAACAAATAAAAAAAGGACTGGGATGTAGCTCAGTGGAAAGTGCCCTTAAGGTTCAATTCCCAGTACCAAAAATTAATTAATGGCTCAAAATCATAAGGAAACAGATGCATATGATAAACTCACTTATAACCATTCCAGTTAACTGTCACTGAGGCTTATGGATAGGTGTGAAAGCACCCAGTGTGACTCTAACTTGAGTTCCTAAGATATTCTTGGAAGCACAACAGATACCATCTGAACCCTGAGGAGTGAATATCTCAGTTGCCTGACAACACCAACACATTTATCAAGTTTTCCAAGGAAGACTAAAGTCTTATTACTATGAGTGAGTTCCCTCCTGGGAGCTGCTTAAAAAGCCAAATCTTCTGGACCATGCAGAATTAACTTTATCAAGGTTAATAGACTTATAATATGATCCCTGAGCACATAACATGTGAGAAGCAAGCTGGATCAAAGGATGTCCTAACACAAAGAGAAACTGTTATGTTTACCCTAGAAAGCACCTGACCAAACATCTGCACTCTTCTACCTTCATTTGGGGATGGGGAGTTTGAATTCTCAACAACAGACAATATTATCCCAAAAAGCCGCTGAACATTAAACTAAGACGGGTGAAAGGTTAAGGAGCCCTATCATCTAGCCTATGTATTTTTCTGCTCTTGTAAGGAAACACTCTATATTTACCAGTTTCCACAGAGTATCACCTATAAAAATCATTGATGAGTTTCCCTTTACGGCTTCTAGACCTTCTATCCTGTGAACATGAAGTGGCAGGAACTTCACTAAATGCTTTATGTACTCCAATAATTTGATCTCAGTATGTATTATTCCAGTTATAGAAAATGCTTCATTAAACCAGTTCTGTAAGGCATACTTAAGAATTCTGAGGTTGGATTATAAAAAAATTGACTATGACAAGCTTCTGAATCTTTATATATATTATATATATATTGTATACACACACACACACACGGAATTGATCCTAGGGGCAACTTTACCACTGAGCTCTCTTTCCACTTATTTTTGTTCTTTTTATTTTGTAATTTTGAGATAGGGCCTCACTATCTCAATCTTGAGGCTGACCTCAAACTTGCAAATCCTCCTGCCTCAGCCTCCGGGGTCACTGGGATTACCAGCATGTGCCACTATGCCTGGCAAGCTTCTTAATCTTTACTGCTAACAAATTCAAGGATTACCCTAAAAGAGACCAATAAGATCTTCCTAAAAATGACTTAAGCATAAAGAAGGAAATACACAATGATGAAATACACATGCCACCCTCTGGTCAAAGTGTGAGAGTGATTCAAAAGTCTCTTTGCTGGGACTCTCCAAGTAGAATACCAGTTAAAACTTTAATTCAAACAGGGCTGGGAAGATAGCTCAGTTGTAGAATGCTTGCCTGCATGCTGGAAGTCCTGGGTTCAATCCCTACCGCTACATGCAAAAACCTTAATTTAAAAAGTTCTGATTAGGAATCACAAGCTTGTAAGCAGTCTGACTCAGTTTACCTCCATTTAAAGCTTTAAAAAAAATTTTTTTTGGGTAGTTGTAGATGGACAGAATGCCTTTATTTTATTTGTTTATTTTTATGTGGTGCTGAGGATTGAACTCAGTGCCTCACGCATGCTAGGCAAGCGCTCTACCACTGAGCTATAGCCCCTGCCCCTGATAAGCTTATCTTACTCAGAATTCACCTGTCAACATTTTAGGCAGTGACTTCAAGTTGTGGAACACTACTCAAGAACTCAAATTTGAGAACATCTACATTTGGTAAGACTAAATATGAATGCAGAACTGAAAAGCTTCCCATCAGTTCACATTCTTTCATGACAAAACAGATTGTGCTAAAACAGCAATTAATCACAGTTAGGTTTGGTGGTACAAGCTTGTGATCCTAGTGTGATTAGGGAGACTGAGGCAGGAGGACTGCAAAGTTCCAGGCCAGTTTCAGCAACTTAGAGACCCTATCTCAAAATAAAATATAAGGGCTGGGAATGTGGCTCAGTGGTAATCTGGGTTTAATCCCCAGTCCTGAAAAACAAAAAACCATAAACAAACAAACAAACAAAATACCAGCAATTAACCAATAACCCTTTTATACCCAAATACTCCACCTGTACCCCAGAAGGATTCAGTATGATTTTGTACTGGGGATTGAACCCAGAGGCACTTAACCACTGAGCCACATCCCCAAGCCTTTAAAAAAAAAAAAAAAAAATTTTTTTTTTTTTTTTTTTTTTTTTTTTTAATTTAGACACAGGGTCTCACTGAGTTTAGGGCCTTACTAAGTTGCTGAGGTTGTCTTTGAACTCGTGATCCTCCTGCCTCAGCCTCCCAATCCTCTGGGATTACAGGCATATGCCACCGTGCCTGGCATAAAGGTTCAGTTCTAAATGTTGAAAATGAAAACTTCACACTATCTGACACTTTATCAAATAGGTAATAGTAGCACCAGTACATAAATATGGCCTGACTTGATCAGTATCCTGGGAAATCAGGGATAATAAACCAGTACAGTACTGGGTATTCACTAAGACATGGGCCCATCTAGAACATAACCTCTCTCATCAGTACTCCCAATTGCTTTCTTTAAGCACATTTTATACACTCCAGCCCAGACCACTTCAAGTACCCAGAAATGTACTATACAGCTCAATGAATCTTGTCACCTCTTCAAAAACATACCATAGCAAACAAGATATTGATCTTTGCAGAATCTCTAATAAATACATGACCATAGAGTGATTCCTGAGGAGCCCCTCTCAAAAAGATATCCAGATGGGCAGTTCAAAATTACTACAAATACTAAGGTAATGAAAATATATTTGAAGCCTTATTTTTGTGAGTCCATATCTAATTTGTAACAGGAGGTTAAAAAAAAAAAAAATTCAGTTACCTTGGCCACATCATTCATATAGGTAGATAGTTTGCCTCTCAAGGAAACATCAATACAGAGAATACTGATTTTGTGAGGCATCCAAAGCTGGAATCCTCACCCTCAACAAGTAAATCGGTAACATCAATTACACAATTGTTATAGAACTTAGGTGCCAACATATATATTCATACAGGATCCAGGACAATATTCCCTTCACTTAAAAGCTATTTAGAAGGGGCTGGGATTGTGGCTTAGTGGTAGAGCGTTTGCCTAGCTACTGTGAAGCAATGGGTTCGACTCTCAGCACCACAAATAAAGGTACATTGACAACAACAACAAAAAAAAGGGAAAGCTACTTGAAAGCAAACTTTTGGTATTCAAATTTCCAGAAAAATGTTCAAAGCAATGTTTTACTAAATTTAGTTATTATTTAGCTCATGAAATGAGTCAGAACCAGACTACCACTTTAGGTAGTCAACAAAATACCTACACAATGTTACTGACCTCCCCACTCATAAAGAAACACTATTTCATTAGTAACAAAGCCTACTTTTGTATAGCGATGAGGGGATTTGGAGGCCGGCAGCTTCTTCAGGTCAAGGAAAGTATCTCCATTTTCTGCTTCACCCACACTTCTCCTATCCATGGCTCCTTTGTCTACAATTTTTTACACCTGGAGAATAAATCAACACAAATTTGTCACAGAAAACAGTAAATTTTCAGAAATTTTAGCTGCTGCTTAAGAAACAAACTTTCAAAAGAGATCTCTTAAAATAGTTATCCAAAAAAAAAATCCAAAAGTTATGATATAAAGTGGAACCAAATTTGAAAAGGAACCACTGGAACTTAGTTATCTCTCCTAGTTAAGTATTCTAAATACCAATAAGGGTAAGGAAAGCAGAAGTGGAAGGTACCCAACTCAGGATACAACCTTTAAGCAGCTTTAATACAAAAAGAAACCAAGATTCGCGGCCGCCCATAGGAACCACCACTGAGTGGAGGGGAAGTTTCCCGGAGTCGGGGACGGTATACTGGATGAGGCTTTTAAAAAGTCAGGGTGTTGTAAAGAGCCTGTCACTTGCCAATGGACGGCACCAGCTGCCCCTTGTTATTCGAGGTCAAGGGCTGAGAACCCAGCCCAAGCGCCCCTCGCCCAGCCGGCTGCACCTGTGGTCATGTCAGTGGCGCCCGTGGCTGGGAAAGGGCGAGCGCTAGGTTCAGCTCAGAAACTCGGCTTCCCCAGGCCAACCTCCCACCCCTCGCGCAGGCCCTGGCCCAGCGGCCTTCTTCGGAGTAAGGGCGGGGACCGTACTTACTGAGGGAAAGCGGGCCGGAGGGGCCCGGGAGGCCAAATCCCCTGGCCCGGGCGCTTTGAGCTGTAGCTGGCGCAAGCCCACCGCCCTCCGCCCCGGCCCGGCGGCTCGGGCCCCGCCAGCCCGCCCGCTGCCCTCCGGCCACCCCGCGGGCCTAAATCCCTGCCCAGCCCCCCCCGCGCGCGCACCGGTGCCCGCGCTCCCGCACGCGACCCCAGGAGCAGCGCGCCCGCGCCCCATCTCCCACCGTAGGCCGTGGCGTGCGACGCCTGGGACCCCGCCGCTTGACCCTTACTCAGTGCCTCCGCCGCTCTGGCGGCCTTTCGTCCGGCCGCCGCTTCCCTCCCCTCTACTCTGCCCGCGCCGGTCCCAGCACTGCTCCCCAAGGCCTTTGCTCTCGCCCCCCCCCCCACCCCGCTCGGGCTGTCTCTCTTCAGCCGCCGTAACTGCGGCCCGGCCCTCCGCCCCTCCTTCCGCCCCCTCCCACTTTATAACTCCCTCCACGCACCCGGGCCCAGCACCGCCTTCACCGCCGCGCGACCGGATATGAGGTGGCTGCTGAGGTGCCGGGCCGAAAAATGAAACATTTCAGCACCCTCCCCGGGAGCTGGTCTATGCGCGAGCCTGGAGGCAGGGAGGCAGCTGCTGGAAGGAGACGGCGACTGCGGTAGGACGAAGACAGAGGCAGAGGTAGTGGAAGCTGGCCCCCTTGCGCGCAGGCGGTCGCGTTGGGCAGTCCCTAAGAGGGAGCTTCGTTCCCACGCGTGATGTGGAGGCGGAGCGGGCGGCCCGAGACCCTGGGCTACCGTGCTCTGCTGGGAAGGTGGTGGCGAGGTGTGCTTGGGTCTGCAGCTTGACTTACTACTGGGGTTTCAGTAGTGGGAACCCGAGTTAGGGAAATTCCGCCGGTTTTTTTTTTTTAATTAGCCTTATGATCTTGAGTTTCGCTCTTCTTTCTAAAGTGGTCCCTATCAATATTAGGAATAGGCAAGAATACGGTTTCCTGCATTTATAAGCCAACTTATACCTTTGATGCAGGTAGAGGCAACTCACAAATTGGTTGACATGTTGTTTCCCGCCCATAATCTGATTCTTTCCTTAACCTATCCGGGAAGGGGAAATGAGATGGCGAATGTCAAGCGCTTAGCTCATAGTGCAGAAACTCGAGCTGACAAGTAGGCACAGAAATTCAAGTATGTGAGCAGTGGGAAGAACTGTTGCGCTGAGAAGGAGGTTACCTGTGAGCCTTGCCTGCCAGAATATCGCAAGCCACTGTTTTTGCCCGGTTGAACTGCCCAGAATTGGTGTGAAATACATGGGCATGGAGGAAACATAGTTTTCTTTAATTTAAAGGCCAGCGAAGCCTACTTTTTCAAGAGGTCTACTTTATTTGAACATTGTTTACTTCGTTAGTGAAATGAGGGACTTCGGCAGTGAGAGGTCACTAAGTTTCCTGTGTGCTTTGGCAACGGACAAAACGATAACGTTTTTCTTTTCTTCGGTAAAACTGAATAAAACCCGTGTTTTAAAATTTTATTTAACTATTTTTTTTCTATGCAGGCAAGAGGCAGAAAAGCAATGTTTGCAATTCTGGCTTGATTTTTTGAATCCCCCTTCAGGCTGTGGAGAGTTAACCAAAACTAAGGATAAATTGTCTTTTCTTACCCGAAAACTGCAAAGATGACCACTCACAGGGCAGTTGTCAAATATTCCAAGGTGGACAAAAATCCTTCTACAACCTCCACAAAGCTTCTAGGTCTTTTTGTGGGGAGAAAACAAAAATTTTTCGGGTTTTGTTTTGGTGGAGTCTATATAGACACACTGTAAATGAACAGTTGTTTTTGTTTTTTGTGGTATGGGGATTGAACCTAGGGCCTTGTACATTCTAGGCAAGTGCTTTATCATTGAGCTACATCCCTCAGCCCCTCAGAGGTGATTTTTTAATTTTAAAAATCTGAGTTCCAACTGGGTGTGATGGCTCAAAGCCTGTAATCCCAGTGGTTTGGGAGAAGGCTGAGGCAGGGGAGGATCATAAATTCAAAGCCAGCCTCAGCAACTTAGTGAGACCCTGTCTCTAAGATTAATAAGGGCTAGGGAGTAGCTCAGTGATTAACCACCTTAAGGTTCTATCTTTGATATTAAATCAAAAAAATTCTGCTGAGTGCTGTGTGGACTCCTGCAATCTCACCTGGGAGGCCCTGTTTCTGTCTCAAAAAGAACTGGAAATGTAGTTAAGTGGTAAAGCGCTCCTGGGTTCAATCCCAAGTACATAAAATAAAAACCAATGTAGTGCAGTGGTCTGTAACCCCATCAACTGAGAAAGCTGAGGCAGGAGGATCTTGGGATATAGGCCAGCTTCAGCAATTTAGCAATACCTTGTCTGGAAATAAAAAATGGCTGGAAATGTAGCTCAATGGTGGAGCACCTGAGTTCAATTCCTAGTATTGCAAAATAAATAATAATAATAATAAAATTTAAAAAACAAGGTGGCTGGGCTGGGGGTATAGCTTAGTAGAAGAGCACTTGCCTCCATGTATAAGGACCTGGGTTCCATATCCAACATCACCAAACAAACAAAACAAAAACGATACCAAAAACCAAGCTTCCCTTGGAATTTGGATTTTTAAAGTTGGGAGAAATAGGACTAATAACTTTGTCATTATGGTGTATAGGGGATGCCCAGCCTGATCTGACAGGGGATCCAAGCCAAGTCAAAAGGGCTGTTCTTGAAGCTATCAAGTCCTGATTCTGCCACTTGACATTTCACCACCCTAGATATCAGTCTCCTCATTTGTAGGAAAAGGACAGTAGGATTTATTTTTCAGGCTTGTAGAAGGAATTAGGGCTAAAATTTTAAACTGAGGGCTGGGGATATACTTCATTGGTAGAGCAAGGCCCCGGGTCTGATTCTCATCACCACAAAAAGACCAAAACTGATCTGGTTACCTCTTGCTGTGTAACAAACCACCCCAAAACTCAGAGGCTTAAACCAGTATTTATTTTGCTTCCAAATCTGTAAATTGGGTTAGTACCAGCTTGGATGCATTTGACATCAGCTGGGGTAGCTTAAAGGCTGTGGGGTAGGATCACTTATGTTTGATAGTTGAAAGTACCTGTCAGCTGGGACCTCTGGAGCTTTATCGGGAACACTTAAACGTGGCCTCTTTTTTTTTTTTTTTTTTTTGTACCAGGGATTGAACTCAGGGGCACTCGACCACTGAGCCACATTCACAACCATATTTTGTATTTTATTTAGAGACAGAGTCTCACTGAGTTGCTTAATGCCTCGCTTTTTACTGAGGCTGACTTTGAACTTGCGATCCTCCTGCCTCAGCCTCCCAAATCACTGGGATTACAAGAGTGTGCCATTGCAGCTGGCACACGTGGCCTCTTGATGTATCTAAGATTTGGATTCTAAGGAATAGAATAAAATAAAAAGGGGTGTTGTATTACTTGCAGGTGCTGCATTGCTTTTTAAAAAAATTTTCTCTCTTATGGTGCTAGGGATCCACTTGAGGGCCTCATGCATACTAGGCAAGAACTCTACTACTGAGCAACACCCCCAGCCCTGAATTGCCTTTTTCTAACTTAGGTTTAAAGTCACACAGGGTTAGTTCTGCCATATGCCCATTCTGTTCCTTAGGAGTCACTAAGGCTGGCTTGGATTAAAAGGAAAGAGATTTCCACTCTTTTATATGGGAAGAATGTTAAAAGAACTTGTGAGGAAGTCTTAAAACTCTAAGCCATACTGTTAGAGTCTGTAAACAAGTCAAAATAACACCTGGCATTCAGCCAGGGGAATGTTAGAGTTCGTAAACAAGTCTGGATGGTGCCTGGCAAAATGCCAGAGGGAGTGGTTTGAGAAGTAACAAAAGCGAGCCATTAAGTGTGGAGATTCCTTATTGGTTGACTGATGTATCTAGTTTATGCTAATTAGATAAGCTGTGTGGAATGTATAAATACTGCTCCTGTCCTGCAATAAACGGCTCCCACTCCTGCTGTATCAATGTGCACAAGTTGTTCGTCACCCCCCGGTTATTTTGCTGCAGCCGGACTGCGGTAGATGGTGGCCCGTTACGGGGAGCCCCGGGACACTCGGGGTAAGTGACAAAAAAAAAGCTGCCTGTCCATAGATAGGACGGGAGCAAATCTGCTCGTCCCTAGGCAGATAGGGCGAGAGGAAAAATGGCCATTTCAAGAAAATGGAGAAGATTGATGCAGTATGTTTGTGTCTTGTTTTGTCTCAGTGAATTATATTGTCTTTGTGATGAAAATATGGAAGGGGTGAGAATTAAATTACTAAGGGAAGAAGGCACCCCAGTGGAACCAAGAATAGTTAGGGCATGTGTTGATAGAAGCCCAGGAACTCTAGTCAGAAAGAAACAGAAAGTTCAGAAGAAGAAAGATTATCATAGGAGGAAGGATTATCAGGAAAAAAGTTGCAGCAAAAGGCTATTACTAAATACTTTTTGTTACTGGAGGGTGCATGAAGCGGAGAGGCGGCTGCCGAGTGTGCAAGCCGGTCACAGCGCAGCAAGGATTTTCCAAGAGGCAGCGGCAACTGGCCCTTCCCCGCCTCCTGGCCTGGGAGCTGGCTCTTCCACTGCTGCGAGCCCAAATCTAGACCTGACCTGGAGGCACAGTCTCGCAGGCTCTTGCTCCCTGTGCCCAGTAGCAGTTTGAGTCCGGGACACTCCCCAGGGCCATCTGGGGCTGCCCAGGACGCTACAGCCAGCAAAAGACGCTACTGGTGTCCCTGATGTTTGGTCATTTTCAATGCCAATAACTAAGCTACAATGGTTCTCCCACACCTGGAAGCTGATGAGTAATGAGCACTATTAAGGCTTATTTCAAATGTAAAAAACCTTGAGATAATGTACTAAATTGTTCAGAAGGCTGTTTTCTTAGTTGAATGCTACAGGATTTTCTTTAGCCATCCAGAGTTCCTGCCTTCGTCCCAGTCCGGTAAAGACCAAGGTGGAAGAATTTCCAGTGTTGCTGAAAACTGGAGGAGACTTCGGAGCTATTGCTGTTTCTGCTGCTACAACTTAAGCTAGCTGCCTGCAGAACTTACCTGGACTGTGATTTAAGCTAGATGCCTGCAGAACTTACCTGGACTGTGATTTAAGCTAGCTGC